TACACTGATAGGGCATCCCGTTACGGTTGAAAACATCTTATTCTAATCTTGTGTACACTGATAGGGCATCCCGTTACGGTTGAAAACATCTTATTCTAATCTTGTGTACACTGATAGGGAATCCCGTTACGGTTGAAAACATCTTATTCTAATCTTGTGTACACTGATAGGGAATCCCGTTACGGTTGAAAACATCTTATTCTAACCCTATGTATACTGATAGGGCATCCCGTTACGGTTGAAAATATCTTATTCCAACTTTACGTACAGTGACCGAGCATCCCGTTACGGTTGAAAACATGTGATTCAGTGTCTATTTGATTAATCATTTGTATTTTTGATCACATGACTACCACCAGATTCCCGAGTGGCGTAATAATAACTTTATTTTATGATACTTTTGCTTCTAATAACTATACCACTACAAACTACATTTGTACTTTGTTCTTCACAATGTAGCACGTTGGCGTAATATTGTGAATCATGTACAAATTACAGTGAAGCTGCAGTATTAGACAAACACAAAGCAGCAAAAACCAGCCTATAAACGACTGTAAAATTATAAAGTTATGTTCTTCGGCCATTTTTCTCTTCTGTCCATTTGCGTCACAAAACTCTTACACTCCCCCCACCCACCTCAAAAAGTATATCCCACCAAGCGGAGCCCCGACTTTAAGGTAAAGAGGTAATAACAAAAGTTTCATTACTTTGTTATTGATTCCTTGATCGATGATTTGAAAATCGCTTCTTTTATAGTACTCATTTCCTTTAAATAATATCTAATATATTCAGTCCAAGTAGACATTATAATAGGAATTATTATTATCTATTTATTAACCGATGGTAAAACTCTAAAAGCATCAAAAGACATAAACTGACTTCCCTTCCATTCTAAGCTTTGGACGACCCCGAGTGAATTGCTTTAAATTTCTCTGTATAAACAGACTGGAATCTCCTCAGATTTAATTTAATAGTGAATTACTGAGACGGTATTTCATACGATTTAACACCGCATTTTCATAGGAGGAAATCACTAGTTGGCAGTATTACAATAAAAGTGTTACGCTAGCTCAATCGTAAGAATTAGATAGACATAGTTCTACAGTTACCTTGTTGGATCACACTCTTTGTCAAAACCTTCAACAGTCAGTACGTTCGTTTCGTTTCCAGATCTGGAATAACTAAAGGAAATCTGTGAAAAGAAAGTTTTTATCTTTATTCTTTAATAAAATGAATCACAGAAAAATTTAATGTCGGAGAATATCTTAACAAGATAATAATTTATGGGTAATACATAAAATACATTTTATGTATTTTGGACACTATAAATCATATGAGCTACGGCACCGTCAAACGAGGCCTTCTTTGAACGCTGGAGTAATTTTGAAACCCAAAATATTTTGTTCTGCAAAATCCCAACTCAAAATGACTAAATCGCAATTTTCAATTTAGGTATTTATTTTTGCGTAAGTTTCATATAAGTTACTACAGTTTTCATCAAAAAGAACAAATTATATTAGTCCCGTGGAAAGCATGTGCATGGCAAACACCACATGTTAAAAAACAACAGGAAAACTATAAATTTCACAGAGGTTAAGTACAGTTCTCGCAGGAGTCAAAACACCATGATAGTACAGAGTGTATATCAATGCAGTTTGTTACTTATTTAATTTCAACTGCACTTTCGTCATTTGTGACTACAGACATTAATAATCTTTTCCGTTATTTATCGTTAATATTGGGGTAAGTTTGAAATTAGTTCAAAGTATTGAAAGTTTCATCAATACTGAAGACATCGATGATGAAAATGAGGAAGAAAACGACAATTAAAATGACAGAGTTCAACAGAATACAGAGTTCTACCTAGTAGACTTTAAATCCAAGAAGTCAGCATTATGTAGCCAAGATTATCTCATCCGAGTCAACGAACAAAGAGGATTCCGAAGATTATGAAATGATTTTCATGCGGCTGTCCAAAAAAGTCCCGTTCAAATTCATATGGTCTGATATACTTGACAGAGGATATGTTGGACAAGATCAGATAAAGAAAGCACTTAAACCCCACAAAAAGACTGGGGGGACTCTAATTCTTTGAGAGTGAGCTACTATAATATTTGTAGGCTTTGCAGTAAATTTGTCTAAACAGAAAAACTGATTTCCAAGTTCAAATACTTCACACCTGAATGACTTCTATTAGACTTAAGACAAATTACTTTTGTATTCATAACTCCTATTAAGCTGTAATTTTACGATGTTTGACAGATTTAAGGAAGAGATTCTCTTCTGAAATGTTCATTATTCGAACATGATATTTGACATAATTTAAGAAAAAAACAACATGTTTTGATGTTCAATCTAACCCATACATTGGTCCGTAAATGAACAGCAGCTGTTTAATACAATTATTCAAAGTAGCCCCACCAATGGGTTACTTTGAACACAGTGAAAATATAAAAAAAGTACATCAGTGTTATTGTCTTTGCCAAAATATGTCATGACATATCAGAGTAAAGGTATACTCCCAATAATAATATATTGTTTTCCTCGTTTCAACCGTTTGCTTTCTTTCAAATTTCAAAAAGATGCAGAAACCGTTAAAAGAAGCCTAACTTGAAGGTATTGTAAAAATATATTAAAAGAATTTGACTAATAACAACAGCAACATAATCACAAGGTAGCTCAACTCCAACAGCTTTAAATATAAAAAAATAAGCAGTAACACCACAATAGTAAAACTGGATGACACAAAGAACTCATTGTATAGACTTGATTAAATAATTCTTTATAAATTAAACTCTATTTTTTATTACAGTCTCTTACACTTCTCTTAAAATAAAGGTAGTTCACCAGTCAAACAAACGGAAATGTTGTTAAAAACAACAAGAAGTTGACATTTAACTGATTATCGAAAACCAATTAATTACGTACGGATCGGACAGCTGTCACAGATTTCAAGATTTTCTGCCATGAGAATGCGTGGTCAAGCTCAGGCGCCTCCAAGTTTTGACTTTTGTTGCGGGTCAACAAACAACATTTCTCATTAATATTTTTTAAAAACTTCTACAACTAAACCTTGTGATTATAACGACATGTATATAGAAATTTTCTCACCAACCTAACAAGTCGTTTCGAATTACAGTATGAATAATGAATATACGTTGCAGACGTAAGGTTACTTCATTCGTCATTTTTCTTTTACATTCTTCGAGTGAAATTAATTTTGAAGTAAAATAAATAGCTACAGCTTACAGTGAAATGGTAGAAATGTATCACTTGACGATTCTTATGCGCAGAGAAGCAATAAGAAAACTGTAAACGTACACTAAGTGTCATTTCTCAGTTCACATATTTATTAACATTGTCAATTTTTTCTAATACTTTCGTTTATCATGTTTTTTTATGTGATCTTTAATTGGATTATGTTTTAAACCTACAATCGGTACTTACATGCAGAATAAATTTTAACGGAATAATATGTCAAATGATAAAAATATTAAGTTAGTGTTTTTTATTTATAATAATTTAGTTACTTTTCATTCTATTTCCTCTTATGATCTGGCATGGTCTGGTAGCTAGGATGCTCGACTCCCAGTCTGCGGGTCGTGGGATCCAATCCCGTCACCGAGCATGCTCACCCTTTCAGCCATGAGAGCGTTATCATATGACGGTGAATACCAGTTTTTGCTGATAAAACGTAGTGGTGTGTGGCTGCCTTTTCTCTAGTCTATCGTTTTTAAATTAGGAACGGCCAACACAAATAGCCCTCGAGTAGCTTTGTGCAACACTCAATAAACATAAAACTTCCCTTAAAAAAAATGTACATTTTTACTCACAACTCTTTCTCTCGAGCTTTAGATAAATTACGTGAAAAGTATATGCCAATAGGCCTGAAGTTAGATTTCTACTGCATTACTTGGATGGGCCTCTATTATTTCCCTTAAAAATATTTATCAATAAACAAGTGAACTCATTAGATCTATTCTTCATGCGCTACTACATAATATTAATATGTTCTAAAATATCAAAGATAAATTTTGTATTTTGAGAAGAATACTTGATTGCCTAAAACCCATTTGTTTGAAATTTTAAGAAATTAGTACTACTATACCAAGACTGTATGTTGTTATTTTGAGCATTGTTTGTTTGTTATAAAGCAGAAAGATGCACAATGGGCTACCTGTGCTCTGTTCACCGCCGGTATCGAAACCCGACTTTTAGCGTAATAAGCCAACTGACTTAACACAGAGCCACCGAGCTGCTCTTGAGTATTGATACGTACTGTTACTCAACTACTAGAGCTAATCATATGATAATACAAAGTTCATGTTTTATTAGTTTAAAAGTTTCAGATTAAAACACAATTGTTGCTGTCTCAGAGAACAGCATGAACCTAGTGTTCTTGAGTACAACTTACAACATATTATTTAGTCTACGACAAATGTACGGTATCTACTGTTTTCATCAGAAATATTCTAAATATTTTTTATAAGATCGCAGATATACAGTTGATAACACGTTTTTGTTTTTTTAAAAAAAAGAAACTCAGATCTCGTGTCTAGCATGAAACAAAACGAACAATTAACTGCAAAGGTGAAGTACAAATTAATAGTGAGTTAGTTCAGGAGCTTGTTCGACCACTTTGGTGACTTTGTTATATCATCGTCTACTGAAAACATTATTCATCACTATACACCGTGACAATGATATAAAAATTAGAAAAGATAACATAAAAATAAAAATTTAAATACAACCTAGGATCTCAGGTACATTTTCCTATGCAACAAATATTTATCTTGTCTTTTCATATCGTTTTCTTACATTTCTTTAAAAGCTACACCAAAATAAAATAAAAGTCTTCTCACACAGAAAGTATGATGAATGGTTACAATTAAAGCATAAACAGTAGTATATATAAATCGTTCTCATAATCGGTGTTTACTCAGTCACTGTTAATATTTCATTACAACCGAAAGACTCGTGGACTCATTTTCATGTGAATTTCTCTTTAGTCCTCAAATTTTCGACTATCGATGTGGTCTATATATATTGAGTAATATTATGTTTGTTTGTTTATATATTGAGTAATATTATGTTTGTTTGTTTATTAAACATTCGTGTAAAAACTGACTAAAATTTAAATGATGTTTGTTTGTTTGTTCACTGTTAAGCAAAAAGCTACACAATTGGTTATTTATGCTCTTACCTACAGCGGGTATCGAACCAAGATTTTTGGTTCTACGCCCTCAGACTTACCGCTGAGCGACCAGTGAGCAACTTGGATGAAATCATTTATTTTCTGTGTAAAACAAGTAGGAAATACTAGCAGTAATTAGTAGAATTAACTGCAATATTGGAGGTATTTTTGGTTACATTTTTGTGACTCATGTTATTAAGAACCCTGTAACCAAAAAAAGTCATGACTCCCACAAACAGTTTGGGTCACAAATAGTTTGGTAAAATGTATTTGTAAAAAAAAATGGTGTCCAGGTGGATGCCCATTTGTAATTCTTGTATTAAATATAGCTTTTACTATTTTGTACTTTCAGTTTGTAGAAACCTTGAACGTCCAATGCTTGTTTTCATTTTAAGCATTTTATTGTGCCAATTACCAGAAACTAGACGAAAGAATGATAACATCCGATAACTTCAACTTTTATCACTCATCACATACTATCGGATTTTGTTCTTGAAGATGGGTTTGCTAAGTACCTAAAGGTCATCCCCCGGTAAGTTTAAGGACTTACGACGTTACAATCCAGAGATTCAATTACCTACGATAGATAGAGCGCAGATAGCACATTATGTCGATTTGCTCTGAAACAAACAAAAACTTAAAGGTCAAACCAGTTTTCGTTATAATACATCAAAAGGTTTTGTTTGTTTGTTTTGAATTTCGCGCAAAGCTACACGAGGGCTATCTGCGCTAGCCGTCCCTAATTTAGCAGTGTAAGACTAGAGGGAAGGCAGCTAGTCATCACCACCCACCGCCAACTCTTGGACTACTCTTTTATCAATGAATAGTGAGACTGACCATTACATTATAACGCCTCCACGACTGAAAGGGCGAGCATGTTGTGAGGTGAGCACCCTAACCACCTGGCCATGCCAGGCCAACACCAAAAGGAAACCTTCGTGTTAAGTTGAGAATTATACGATGAATTACTTCAATTAAGAATGGTTATATACTCTCAGTGATTCTAAGTTTCAGAATAGTGAAGCATTAGACTTACCAAACCTCTGAGTCCAAAAGTGGGCTAATGAGAATTGATATAACTTGAAAATACAGTTTTCAGGTAGCTATTTTGAGGATTTTTTTATTTTTTTACTAATGTTTTATTACAAACAACAGCATCGAAAGGCGAGAAAAAATTACATCCCAAAAGTAAAATACAGTTGTAAAGCAAAACAATTAAGTAAAACGAAAGAAAAAGGTAATGTCATCAAAACGATACCCAAGTCATTTGACCTTTGTATTTGTAGTTGGCTTACCTGGTCTTCAAAAGTTTCAGGTTTGATCAAGTTCATTGGTTCCAAGTGGGAATGGAAATGCTCTATAACTGTCAATTTTTTTTTCAGAACGTGCTCTGAAAGAAAAGAAATTACCATGATCTAAGTTGTTGTTTTTAATACCATAATTCAAGAACAGACAGAAAGCGAGACAATTAGTAGAAAGAGTACTCAAAAGATGTGAATAATTCAGAAAAATGTAAACATCCACACCATTAAATTTGAGAACTATCTTTGAATGATTAAGAAACAACAGCTTTTCGCTTATTGTTTGTTTGTTTTAATTATGCACAAAGCTACACAAGAGCTATCTGTGCTCTGCCCACCACGGGTATCGAAACCCGGTTTCTAGCGTTGTAAGTCCGCAGACATACCGCTGTGCCACTGGGGGGCGCTTTTTGCGTTTTCTGCTGAAGGTGTTAATTTTTAGTTGTTTCGATGCTTAAGATGACATCAATCTCTGAAAATCAGAGCGACTCTCTACATCAGATGGATTATCCTGTTCAAAAGCTCTGACATTAGAAGCTTCAATCAATCAATTCCGCCTTCCCCTTCTTTACTATGACACTATGTTTTGTTTTATTTTCAAAACGTTAATATCCGGTTTCAAACAACATCTGTTGATCTTGAAGCATGTTGCTAAGACTAGTTGTTTATTATATATATACCATAAAAAAAGTGCTATTAATAGTTCCAAAGTCCTACTCAAACTACTGTAGTTAGGCCTGGCGATAGCTATTTTGTGGCCCTAGGCAAATTGTCAGTGTGTCCCCTCAAAATAAAATTTTACTTTAATTTTGCAACAAAACCGTTAAGATTACAAAATATAACTTATTTATTTATACTTATTGCCCTTAATGTAGATGGTGAATAGTATAGTAGCGCTGAGTGGCTACCTTTTCTCTGATAAGTCGTTCAAATTTAGGGACAGGGGCAGATAGCCTTAATAGCTTTACGTAAATAAAATGAAAATATTTATTTATTTATTCAAGCCCAAGGGAATGTTATGTAGGGTTAACACGTGGCTTATGTGTC